GTTCTATTGGTGATAAACAAAGGTTAACAGGTAGGGAATCAAGCCTCGTTACGTCAGCACATCACGTGACCGAAAACAAGGCCGGGCGCGTATGTAACAAGAGCTTGGCTGCGCATTGGTGGTGTTAGTAATCATTGTGCGCTATAAGCATAGAAAACGTATCAGGAACAACGATTTTTTCCTCCAGTTCTTTTATATTTCCACCAATTATTAATTGGTATGAAGGTGATGGCCCTACCGGGGTGGTCTGCTCAAGATAACACTGGCATGGATCTTGACCCGAGTCCAAGTAACAGTAGTGCCAGTAGTCGTCCCAGGCTACCCCCAGGTTACCTGAGCTAACACCTCACCATCCAAACTTGTAAGTATGGTGAACGAAGGTGTTAACGACTTCAAAGATATACGTAACTATTCCTGTGCAAACCGCATTGAAAAGGCCTAGATCCTAAGCTTCTTGCCGAAACCAAACAAGGGCGACAATCTTAAAATATCGTTCTTCTTGCAGTTCTTTTGGGCCATAAGCAGGAATTTTTTGCACTGGTTAAAACATCAACATTTCACGAACTGAAATTACGCAGAGAATACGCATTTTACCAAGCGACTGCGCCGAAATTAATGAGGAGTTGGACTGATACGTAAGCAGATTTAAAACTACGTTTTAGGCAAAATTTTCACGTAATGTCATATTTTGTTATACGCCGATAGACCATGAAGTTGACCTAAGAAATAAAACAACTTACAGGCCGTAGCAATACGATGTGAATCTCCCATATTTAAAGCTAAACTAGATTGAGTTGATATGGCAGTAATTTCGGCAAATGACATAGCTATAACTAGTAATCTCAGTCAAATTAAAAAAACCCTGCTTCACTCCTAATGATTCAGTATGTAATTTACAGCATGCGCCATTTTACCCATCAAAGTTTGGGCCAAAATCAATTATATGGCGAAAATAGGCAATTTTTAACAACAACGCGGTTTCCATGTGATTGAAATCTTGAAACAAAACACAATAAAAACATAAATTGGGTGCTCGAGTAAACGGGCAAAGATGGTTACAGAGAAACACACTCTACATTATCAGACTCTACAATTTTTAAGAAAAAAATAATTACCTATTGCTTTCCACGCAATACTAAAATCAAATATTACCTTTGTCAAGGTCACGTTGTCCATTCCTTTCAAACTCTTAATTTTGTCACGATGTTTTAGGGACTTCATTAATTCCAAATTCAAAATATTTAGGATCTCAGTATTGGCACATATATTAATGGATCCTTCTCTTTTCGTATATCAACGTTATATTTCAGTATAATGTTCGAACTACGGTGGTATGACCTTCCCGGCATGCTATACGTAAGGGAATATTCAATTCCCAGTTATTCATGTCTTTAGTCGCTCCATGTTGAAGAAGGTAGTCAACAACTGACGCATTTCCACCTTCACAAGCCAGATATATAATTGCGGACATGTCAAGATTTTCTTCATTTATTAGTTCAGCACCATGTTCAACTAAATATTCAACCGTTTCCAATGAACCAAACTTAACAGCATTGTGAATCACAGGTTTATTCGGCCTGTTTTCCCAGTTTACATTAGCACCATGTTCAACTAAATATTTGACAATTTGCAGTGAACCAGATGATGCTGCAGAGTGAAGAGGACAACTACCAAGGTTAAAGGATTCAAAATTTACATTAGCACCATGATCAGCTAAATACTTGACAACTTCCAGTAAGCCAGATGATGCTGCAGAGTGAAGAGGACTACCAAAGAGAAGGGATTTAAAATTTACATTAGCACCATGTTCGATCAAATATTTGACAATTTCCAGTGAACCATGTGATGCTGCATAGTGAAGAGGACTACCAACGTGAAAAAATTCAAAATTTACATTAGCACCATGTTCAACTAAATATTTGACAATTTCCAGTGAACCAGATGATACTGCAGAGTGAAGAGGACTACCAACGTTACTCTCTTCACAATTTACATCAGCACCATGTTCAACTAAATATTTGACAATTTCCAGTGAACCAGACGACGCTGCAAGTGAAGAGGACTACTGCGGATAGAGGATTCAAAATTTACATTAGCGCCATGATCAACTAAATATTTGACAATTTTCAGTGAATCAGCTGATGCTGCAGAGTAAGGAGGACGACCAAAGTGAGGGGATTCACAATATACATTCGCACCATGTTCAACTAAATATTTGACAATTTCCAGTGAACAAGATGATGCTGCAGAGTAAAGAGGACTACCAAGGTTAAAGGATTCAAAATTTACATTAGCACCATGATCAACTAAATATTTGACAACTTCCAGTGAGCCAGATGATGCTGCAGAGTGAAGAGGACTACCAAAGAGAAGGGATTCGAAATTTACATTAGCACCATGTTCGATCAAATATTTGACAATTTCCAGTGAACCACGTGATGCTGCATAGTGAAGAGAACTACCAACGTCAAAAAATTCAAAATTTACATTAGCACCATGTTCAACTAAATATTTGACAATTTCCAGTGAACCAAATGATGCTGCAGAGCGAAGAGGGCGACCAACGCAAAAGGATTCAAAATTTACATCAGCACCCTGATCAACTAAATATTTGACAATTTCCAGTGAACCAGATGGTACTGCAGAGTGAACTGGACTGCCAACGTGAAAGACTCCAAAATTTACATCAGCGCCATGTTGAACTAAATATTTGACAATTTCCAGTGAACCAGATGATACTGCAGAGTGAAGAGGGTTGTCATCGTTAATGAATCCACCATTTACCTCAGCACCATGTTCAATTAAATATTTGACAATTTCCGGTGAACCAGATAATACTGCAGAGTGAAGTGGACAACCAACGTTAATAAATGATTCACAATTTACATTAGCACCATGTTCAACTAAATATTTGACAACCTTCAGTGCACCAGATGATGCTGCAGAGTGAAGAGGACTACCAACACGATGATTTTCACAATTTACATCAGCACCATGGTCAACTAAATATTTGACAATCTTCAGTGAACCAGATGATGCTGCAGAGTGAAGAGGACTAACATCGTAATAATTTTCACCTTTCACATCAGCACCATGATCAACTAACCGTTTTACTTCATGAAAATTTCCTGTTTTCACTGCGATCAGAAGTTTCGACATATTTAGATACCTATAAAAACAAAGGTAATTATGCAATGAATGGAAGTGATTTATTGATCATTACGACACAAAGGGCACTAGCTGGTATTGTAATGTATATTATATTGGTGTTATAGCAAATTGTAAATCAGAATGTTTTAATTTCTGATACTACTATGCTTCAATTTTATGCTTCGGACGGTTATTTGGAATGTTCTGTTGTTCGATTGCATGGTGGATATCAATAGAGAATGCTAATTGTCTTAATCACTTAGGTGTATGGAAATCATTGGTCAGCAAGGACTATTATATTACTGCCCTATTCACAATTTTTCACCTTACAGGTTGGTTTTTTTTTGGTAATCAATATTTTACCATTGTTATATTATTCTGAAAAATTACAGGTTTTTTTTTTGGTAATCAATATTTTACCATTGTTATATTATTCTGAAAAATACTGTAACCAAACGACTAACAAGTAATAAAATAACACTGTAAAACTTACTTTCCTACAAGTAAGATATTTATACGAACAACAATGAACTGAACTATATATATATATATATATATATATATATATATATATATATATATATATATATATATATATATATATATATATATATATATATATATATATATATATAAATAATAATCGTTGATTCAAACAAAAGTATGAACGCACTGAGTAGTTTGAAGAGTGCTCAACACCAATATTAGTAGAGCTTTATAATTGTTGTCTTTTCTACTTAAAATTAATTAAGTCGCAGCTCTGAGTTTCACGTTTTCACGATCTTCAGGCGACGATGTATGTTCAACTAACTTTTCCTGCTTGGTGACGTTGATATCCGTTGTGCTGCTTGCGTGACTGAGTTTGCGTGCGTGATTGAGCTTGCGCACGTTCAAACTTTTCAGCCAAGAATCGTTTTTGGTGAACGCACTTCGAGAACAACTCGCGTCTTCTATTTAGCAAGTTTGACTTATCCGCTTTTAGAATGCAAAGTTTCTCTTGGAGGCAAAGGTTACATCTCTTTCCACCGCTGGAATACGAGGCTGCTCGTTTTAGGATAGACCAATTAATCGTAAAGTCCTGCTGCTTTTCCTTTAAGTTCCACACGTATTTTGAGAGCTCCGTATTGTTCCTGTATATAACATTATTGAAAGATTTATTGTGGTTATATAACCGTGTCTTAAAGGTGTTTCCCGTCATGCCAATGTATTCTTTAGGTTCCGAATTGTTGGTTACCACCTCTGCTTTATAAACTATGCAGTCTAATAGGCATTTCTTTTGAAGAGGACATTCGTTGCTATTATTACAATTGCATGTGGCGCTGTATGTTGATGATGATGTTTGGGTTGTCGATTTCGGTCTTGATATCTTTCAATAATGTTATATACAGGAACAATACGGAGCTCTCAAAATACGTGTGGAACTTAAAGGAAAAGCAGCAGGACTTTACGATTAATTGGTCTATCCTAAAACGAGCAGCCTCGTATTCCAGCGGTGGAAAGAGATGTAACCTTTGCCTCCAAGAGAAACTTTGCATTCTAAAAGCGGATAAGTCAAACTTGCTAAATAGAAGACACGAGTTGTTCTCGAAGTGCGTTCACCAAAAACGATTCTTGGCCGAAAAGTTTGAACGTGCGCAAGCTCAATCACGCACGCAAACTCAGTCACGCAAGCAGCACAACGGATATCAACGTCACCAAGCAGGAAAAGTTAGTTGAACATACATCGTCGCCTGAAGATCGTGAAAACGTGAAACTCGGAGTTGCGACTTAATTAATTTTAAGTAAAAAAGACAACAATTATATATATATATATATATATATATATATATATATATATATATATATATATATATATATATATATATATATATATATATATATATATATATATATATATATATATATATATATATATATATATATATATATATATACAGTATAAAGTTAGAATACTGAAACATTGGCAGTATTTTGACGACATTTCTGAATTGAAAATTTAAGTTAACAATGACTATATTAACCTAGTCTATATATTTATTTTACAATCAGTATAGACACGAAGCAGCATGCTATACTTTGTTCATGAAACATTTATTTGCTGAGTAATTATTTATGTTTGTTTAAAGAAAACATATTAAGAAACACATGTTAATTAAGCTGCATACTTCTTTATTTGTAGACATTTCCGGAAACAATTCCATCAAGCACTCCCCCGAAATCACAAAATCTATCCAAAAGTAAGTTCAAAGTGCGCCTCTCTAGAAATATGCAACAACCTCCCACCCTTTCGTAACAGCACAACTGCATAGCTCGAAAACATTGTTCCAACATAAATTACTTCGTAAGTGGATTGAAACATTGTGCATGCAATCGCAGGGTACCATAGTAACATGAATATCATACATTTTTACTGTCAAAGTTTATTGTATAGCCAGTTCGTCTTACAAAGGCTTTTAAATAAATTCGAAGTATCGCCATAAATTTTGTCTTTATTTTAATCCATATCCTGAAATTTCAAGATGCACCTCTCAGAACTTATTTTATTTTCTATTTTTTTTTACATTGCCGGTGGGAAATGGATTTTGAAGAAACCTCGGAAATTATTGTGGGAAAAAGGGCTGGGGGTTATGTGATCCATAAATAGTACTTGGCGCTTATTTTGACAACAATTCTGGATCTATACTGTACTATTCACCCTTTTAGCAATTGAAGAACTGTTGCCATCTTGTAAGGAAGTGCTGAAGAGAAACAGGTAAATGGAGTTTCTTCATAATGTCACTGTATATACTTTAACGTAATTGCCTTGTAGGGAGAACAGTTATAGATATACCTTTGAAGTATTAAGAAAGTTAGTTTAATTTTAGTTACTGCTACATTATTTTCCCAACATTTCTATAACTCCTTATATACTCTATTCAGCTCACTCTCCAACGGTGTTTACAAACTACGAAATAATGAATCACTCGAAGAATATTCAGTTTACTGTCACATGACTGAAATACCTGGATGCGGGACAGGAGGCTGGACACTAGTGATGAAAATGGATGGCAACAAGGTAAAGATCATGTAAGGTGAAAATTAATTTTAAGGATAGTGATAAATTAATAATTATATACAGAATAAATGGTCAGTTTCATTTGCAGAATGAATTCAACTACAGCTCTTCTTACTGGACCAACAAGGAAACCTACGCAGTTGAAGATGGACTTGAAGGTTTGAATGAAAAACAAACAAAACTTGCTTCTTACTGGAACACACCGTTTAACAAAATATGCCTCGGAATGAAAGTCAGCGGTGTTACACAATGGATTGTGATCGACCACCAAGCAAGTTCGCTGTTCAATGTAATCGCAGGCGAAAATTTCATAGCAACAACCGTTGAAAAGAACGCATGGAAGTCACTGGTCAATGATTCAAATTTGCAAAACAACTGTAATCAACAAGGGTTCAATATAGACAAGGGAAATATATACTATGCATTTGCTTATAACAAAGTACGGATTGGATTAGTGGCAAATAATCAAAACAACTGCAAGAGTTGTGACTCGTGTATTGGCTTCGGTACTTCGGTACGTGGATGTGATGGCGATGTGAGAAATTCCGCGTGCGGTAATATAATGGCTTTTTGTACTGATCCAAAAAATGATACGGACACTGCAGCGTTTGGATATATACTTGTACAGTAGCGTCGCAATAATACTCGGGACTATTACTCAGACATATACTTCACGCCCATGCGTTAACGTTAAAAGTTAGAGATTTGTTTGTTTTTATAGTATTTATCGTATTTATAGTAATTATCGTATTTATTGTATGTATAGTTAAAAAAATCACAGGAACAACAGCTGAAAGGGTCATGCAGATCATGTAATTATTCAAAATACATGTTATGACATATGTATGGGAAAATATAAGAAAAAACATACCGTATCTATATGTACCAGATCCCGGACAAAGATGGAATGATTAGACGATTATATATATATTAGCAATAGAATAGTATAGGAGTATTTTTAATGGTGGACATTGATTGGGAATAGTGAGTTTTAATATATAGACACTATATATTATAGCTTCGAAGTAAATGAAAGTTCATTTATTTTATGTATAGATATATCGTTACCTTTGTAGCCTAATAGATAATGCATTAAAATAACGTTGATTGATTTAATTAATGATCGAATGCCCACTCTGTATAAATTAATTAAAGTTCTATATTCAGGATATATACAGTATATACTCTTTGTACTATTTACAACATGAGCGTGTTATATCCGATACAACACGGACGCGAATGTTGTAAATGGCTTAAAAAACGACTCATCTTATGAGTTCATCGGCGAAGTAATTTTAAAAATAAACGTTGTCTAAGCCGAGAAAATCAAAGTTAAAGTTTATGTAAATCAACATGAATCTGTATCACATGTACCGATACGACACGCTTATGATTTTTCCGTGTTTTCTTCATGAATTATTAATGAGTTTTTTAATGCCCTTTACTAAGGCGTGCAAAAGGGAGGGGGAGTGCCCTTTTAATATAAATAAAACAAAATGCATGGTCACATCGAGCTTCAATACTCTACATTTTCATGACTCAACATGCATTTATACAAGACTCTGCATTTTCGTGGGTGAAAACGGAATATTTTAATTTCGATTCAATGTTCCCACTTGCATTATTCAATAATGGCAAATATTCGTTTTAATTTTGTTTAGAATATTGATATTCCTATTCCAAATATATTCCTATTCCTATAATCTTAATATTCATATTCCACTCAATATTCATGTTGCATAAAGCTGTCGACTGGAATGGATTCAGCTGTACTTGCGCACTCAAAGTTTATATTTTGGTAAACAGAGATATATGTATAGTCAATAATAGACTGAAGTATTGCATTGAAGCTGCCATTTTATGACCCAAAACGTGGTATATGAATATATACCACATTGCAAACACCAGTGTTTGCAATAGGAACAAAGTCATCCTTGTCAAACGGCAACCGAAGAGCCCAATCACATTGCAGAAAAACGCCCAATGTATATATAGTCGCCACTTGAAGAGATCGCGTTCACATCTGTAAATATTTAATGATATTAAAACCCTCCCAACATAATAACAGCTTGAAAGCAAAATTAAAGTCTTACAATGGCTGCCTTACTAAGCATTTGTGCGTTAATTTTCATCTCAGAAAAACCACAACCAGGCTTGTGCTCAAAACAAGCAGTGTTTCACAGAAATGTACAAAAATACTTGACAAACATGTCATTGAAACAAAACAGGCAGAGAGCAAGCTATAATGTGGGATGCATTGCGTTGAAGATGAATCATGTGCGTCAGTCAATTACAAAACTTCTGGAATTGGTACACAACAAAAAATCATTTTCTTATTAAGAAAAAAATTTCTTAATTTAAGAAAAAAAATCTTAAAATAAGAAAATAATTTTCTTAGTAAGAAAAAATTTATGTTTGCGATGTTACTCTGAGTGCATATCCACACCGGGCGAGCTTGAAAAATATGCCCCGCCACGGTGGGATTCGAACCTACGACCTTTGGAATACTATATTTTAAGAAAAAATTTTCTTGAAATAAGAAATTTTTGAATCCCAAGATATCTTTTTCTTAAAATAAGAAACAAATTTCTCAATAAGAAAACATTTTCTTAAAATAAGAAAATACGATTTTCTTACTTTCTTAATGAGAAAACATTTTCTTAAAATAAGAAAATACGATTTTCTTACTTTAAGAATATGTTCGTAAGACAAGAAATGAAATTCTTAAAATACAAAATTAAAAAATAGTAAGACATTATTACTTAAATTTTCGAAGCAAGAAAATGTAAAATGCTAGTGTTATAGGACAACTTATATCTTAACAAGACTTAGAACAACGTATATCTTATTGCGTCAGGTAAATTTGTAGTTTTTATTTCGAATTGAAGAGACTATATGACCGGCAGCTCACGGTTGATCAAACACAAAATGGCCGGCAGTACATTGACTATATAGTCAATTTAAAGTTGAATCTTCAGTATAAGATAGATAAACCGATCCCCAATCCCAAACCCTTCTCTAACCCTAACCCCTAACCCTAACCTTTTGAGAGTTAGACCGGCTGCCGGTAATATAGTCACTTTGTTTTTATTTCGTTTCCAAAATTTGAGCTCGTTTCAGTTTTATTGAATCGTTGAAGAGAATTTTTGCCCTCCGGAATTTTTATCCAAGCAGGAATGCAAGCAAGAAGAGTTCGCCATAGTTCGCGTATTCACTAAACGCCTGGTACCTAGTTTACCTTTTAGAACGCGGAGCATCGCGGGATAGCGTCGTTTTACAGTGTCAAAGATTTTATATAAATATCCATGGAATTAAACAGCACTTCAAGGCAATTTAAATGGCAAATAACGATGGGAAAAGTATCAGAAAGTCCTTAAAATGTTGTTCAGATACCACAGGTAAGAATAATTGTATATTTGACTTGTTATTTAAACAGATTCATTGCGAAATAATGTAGTGATTATGACTGTTTACTTGAGCGAAGTGTGAAAATATTCCATTGAATGTTTGAATTTGCCGCGTTCGTTTTGCATATAAAACATGCAAATGTTGCTTTCAGGCAAGGGACGAAAGATTAAAATATAAATTCATATCTAAATTGGATATAGCTTACTAGCCTATATCACAAAACAAAAATATTGCTTTTCTAATTATTGTAGCAAACGTTTGGCTATGATTCACCTTACTGGACGAACAAAGAAGGTTATGCAGTTGAAGATGGACTTGAAGGACTAACAGAGAAAGAAAGTAAACTGGCCTCTTATTGGAACACTCCTTTCAAGAAAAAAGTCTTGGTATGACCGTTAATGGTGACAGAAAATGGATGATGTTTGATTATGAAGGAAGTTCGCTATACAGTTTGATGGAAGATGGACAATATCGAAAAAACAACCACTGGAAGGGATACATGGAAGTCACTGATCGCAGGATCATCTTTACAACCCCAAACTGCAATAAAGAGGGATACGGTGTCTTTTAAAACGGGAGAATCGAAATGCGCATCGGATTCACGGCAAACAATAACAATGACTGTTTATCGCCTGATTCGTGTATTGGGTTTGGCAATTTTTACAATGCTTGTTCTAAAACGAAAATCAGTATAACATGCGGTAATATTATACCTCAAATTCAAATTGTCCAATCAGGAAGCTTAGTTTGTGCCACGTGAGCATGAAATTAATCGCGATATCACGCCTTACGTCATCAATTAGCGAGCCTGCGTTCTTTTTGACAATGTTCCACCCCATGTTCCCCGGGGAACATGGGGTGGAACATTATTCGCGTAGACCACGCGAGACAACACGCATGACAACAACATGGCCGACAAAATATAAATAGTATTGATGAATGATGAATAATCTTGGTAAATGATGTAAAACCTGGGGGCTTTTTCATAATTTTGAAGTAAATTTTGAAAAATGTTGTCATTAATATTCCAAACGATATGTGATTCGAAAGAAAAGCGACGATACTTGCGTTAATCCGAAAATAAAACATCGTATTCACGAAGGTATGTGTCATGTTTTTATTTCTCAACTTGGAGGCTTTTAATTTTCGGTATAATATATCATTTATAGACCCTCCGCTCGGGGAATTCGGCGAAATATTACCCTCAGTGATGCTATTTCCCTCGGGGCAAAGCCCCTCGGGAAATATCATCACTTCGGGTAATATTTCGCCGAATCCCCCTCGCTCCAGGTCTATAAATGATAAATATTGCACTGTGTCCAACTAGGGATCCAAGGATAGTGTGAAGTTTCGAATTGAAAAAGACACTGCAAGAACTATATAGGGTTGCCGACAACCTAGAAAGGCTGATGGCTTACACTACGAAATAAACAGTTACCAAACGCATTTCATCTCATTATCTATTTTATAATGCGTTCGGCACATGAGTAACGCCATGTTTGAAACAAGCCTAACAGATCAGAAACGTGCCTCGTGGAACTGATACAATTTATTTATTTATTGTGATGCTACACGCGACAACTCGAAATTTAAATTGTGTCACCAACACCCAAATTTTGCATATTCTAAATCTTCATTTGTATTTGCAGCTGTCGCTAAAAGCATCCTAACGAGGCTACTGATACGCTGAACTTATTTAATATGATTATTCCCATCACCCAAATAGCTGTATAAGATATGTTATGAATAATAAGCACTACGACGTTGTATCATTAAAAGAACGCATTTTATCCCCATCCGTTCTATATTTTATCCCCATATCCGTTCCGTGGATCCGCTCCATCCGCTTCCGCATTTTAACC